TACCTCCTCCTTCCCTACCTCTCTCCCTCCCTACCTCCTTTCCCCACATCTCTCCCCTCCCTACCTCCTTCCTACCCTCTCTCCCTCCCTACCTCCTTCCCTACCTATCTCCCTCCCAACCTCCTTCCCTACCTCTCTCCCTCCAAAACCTCCTTCCCTACCTCTCTCCCTCCCAATCTCCTTCCCTACCCTCTCTCCCTCCCAACGTCCTTCCCTACCCCTCTCCCTCCCAAACTCCTTCCCTACCTCTCTCCCTCCCAACCTCCTTCCCTACCTCTCTCCCTCCCAACCTCCTTCCCTACCTCTCTCCCTCCCAACCTCCTTCCCTACCTCTCTCCCTCCCAACCTCCTTCCCTACCTCTCTCCCTCCCAACCTCCTTTCCTACCTCCTCTCCCTCCTAACCTCCTTCCCTACCTCTCTCCCTCCCAACCTCCTTCCCTACCTCTCTCAATCTCAACCTCCTTCCCTACCTCTCTCCCTCCCAACCTCCTTCCCTACTTCTCTCCCTTCCTACCTCCTTCTCTACCTCTCTCCCTCCCTACCTCCTTCCCTACCTGTCTCCCTCCCAACCTCCTTCCCTACCTCTCTCCCTCCCAACCTTCTTCCCTACCTATCTCCCTCCCAACCTCCTTCCCTACCTCTCTCCCTCCCAACCTCCTTCCCTACCTCCCCCCCTCCCAACCTCCTTCCGTACCTCTCTCCCTCCCTACCTCCTTCCCTACCTCTCTCCCTCCCTACCTCTCTCTCTCTCTCCCTGCCTCCTTCCCTACCTCTCTCCCTCCCTGCCTCCTTCCCTACAATCCCTCCCTACCTCCTTCCCTACCTCTCTCCCTCTCTACCTCCTTCCCTACCTCTCCCCCTCCCAACCTCCTTCCCTACCTCTCTCCCTCCCAACCTCCTTCCCTACCTCTCTCCCTCCCAACCTCCTTCCGTACCTCTCTCCGTCCCTACCTCCTTCCCTACCTCTCTCCCTCCCTACACCGCCTTCCCTAACTCTCTCCCTCCTACCTCCTTCCCTATTTTCTCCCTCCCTCCCTACCTCCTTTCCCTACCTCCTTCCCTACCTCTCTCCCTCCCAACCTCCTTCCGTACCTCTCTCCCCCCTACCTCCTTCCCTACCTCTCTCCCTCCCTACCCTCTCTCTCTCTCTCCCTGCCTCCTTCCCTACCTCTCTCCCTCCCTGCCTCCTTCCCTACCTCCCTCCCTACCTCCTTCCCTACCTCTCTCCCTCCCTACCTCCTTCCCTACCTCTCTCCCTCCCAACCTCTTTCCCTACCTCTCTCCCTCCCTACCTCCTTCCCTACTTCTCTCTCTCTATGTCCTTCCCCACTTCAATCTCTGTACCTCCTCCCCACTTCTCTCTGTCTACCTCCTTCCCCACTTCTCTCTCTCTACCTCCTTCCTCACTTCTCTCTCTCTACCTCCTTCCCTACTTCTCTCTCTCTACCTCCTTCCCTACTTCTCTCTCTCTACCTCCTTCCCCTTCTTCTCTCTCTCTAACCTCCTTCCCCACTTCTCTCTTCTACCTCCTTCCCTACTTCTCTCTTGCTACCCTCCTTCCCCACTTCTCTCTCTCTACCTCCTTCCCCAGTTCTCTCTCTCTACCTCCTTCCCCAGTTTCTCTCTCTCTACCTCCTTCCCTACTTCTCTCTCTCTTACCTCCTTCCCTACTTCTCTCTCTCTACCTCCTTCCCCACTTCTCTCTCTCTACCTCCTTCCCCACTTCTCTTCTCTACCTCCTTCCCTAAATTTCTCTCCCCTCTAACCTCCTTCCCACTTCTCTCCCCTCTACCTCCTTCCCTACTTCTCTCTTGCTACCTCCTTCCCCACTTCTCTCTCTCTAACCTCCTTCCCCAGTTCTCTCTCTCTACCTCCTTCCCCATTCTCTCTCTCTACCTCCTTCCCTACTTCTCCTCTCTCTTTACCTCCTTCCCTACTTCTCTCTCTCTACCTCCTTCCCCACTTCTCTCTCTCTACCTCCTTCCCCACTTCTCTCTCTCTACCTCCTTCCCTACTTTCTCTCTCTTTAACCTCCCTCCCTACCCTTTTCTCTCACTTTACCTTTTTTCCCCACTTCTCTCTCTCTACCTCCTTCCCCCACTTCTCTCTACCTCCTTCCCCACTTCTCTCTCTCTACCTCCTTCCCTACTTCTCTCTCTCTCTCTCTTTACCTTCCTTTCCCACTTCTCTCTCTCTACCTCCTTCCCTACTTCTCCTCTCTCTCTTTACCTCCTTCCCCACTTCTCTCTCTCTACCTCCTTCCCTACTTCTCTCTCTCTCTCTACCTCCTTCCCCACTTCTCTCTCTCTACCCCCTCCTCCCCACTTCTCTCTACACTCCTTCCCCACTTCCCCTCTCTCTACCTCCTTCCCTACTTCTCTCTCTCTCTCTCTTTACCTCCTTCCCCACTTCTCTCTCTCTACCTCCTTCCCTACTTCTCTCTCTCTCCCTTTACCTCCTTCCCCACTTCTCTCTCTCTACCTCCTTCCCTATCTCTCTCTCTCTCTTTACCTCCTTCCCCCACTTCGCTCTCTCTACCTCCTTCCCTACTTCTCTCTCTCTCTCTCTCTAACCTCCTTCCCACTTCTCTCTCTCTACCTCCTTCCCCACTTCTCTCTCTCTACCTCCCTCCCTACTTCTCTCTCTCTCTTAACCTCCTTCCCTACTTCTCTCTCTCTACCTCCTTCCCTACTTCTCTCTCTCTACCTCCTTTCCCCACTTCTCTCTCTCTACCTCCTTCCCTACTTCTCTCTCTCTCTCTTTACCTCCTTTCCACTTCTCTCTCTCTAAACCTCCTTCCCTACTTCTCTCTCTCTCTTTACCTCCTTCCCCACTTCTCTCTCTCTACCTCCTTCCCTACTTCTCTCTCTCTCTCTAAACCCCCTTCCCCACTTCTCTCTCTCTAAACCTCCTTCCCCACTTCTCTCTACCTCCTTCCCCACTTCTCTCTCTCTACCTCCTTCCCTACTTCTCTCTCTCTCTCTTTACCTCCTTCCCCCACTTCTCTCTCTCTACCTCCTTCCCTACTTCTCTCTCCCCTCTTTACCTCCTTCCCCACTTCTCTCTCTCTACCTCCTTCCCTATCTCTCTCTCTCTCTTTACCTCCTTCCCCACTTCGCTCTCTCTAACCTCCTTCCCTACTTCTCTCTCTCTCTCTCTCTACCTCATTCCCCACTATCTCTCTCTCTACCATCCTTCCCCACTTCTCTCTCTCTACCTCCCTCCCTACTTCTCTCCTCTTTACCTCCTTCCCTACTTCTCTCTCTCTACCTCCTTCCCTACTTCTCTCTCTCTACCTCCTTCCCCACTTCTCTCTCTCTACCTCCTTCCCCACTTCTCTCTCTCTAACCTCCTTCCCCACTTCTCCTCTCCTACTTCCTTCCCTACTTCTCTCTCCTCTCTTTACCTCCTTCCCCACTTCTCTCTCTCTACCTCCTTCCCTACTCCCCCTCTTGCTACCTCTCCTTCCCCACTTCTCTCTCTCTAACCTCCCTCCCTACTTCTCTCTCTCTTTACCTCCTTCCCTACTTCTCTCTCTCTAAACCTCCTTCCCCACTTCTCTCTCTCTACCTCCTTCCCCACTTCTCTCTCTCTACCTCCTTCCCTACTTCTCTCTCTCTCTACCTCCTTCCCCACTTCTCTCTCTCTACCTCCTTCCCTACTCCTCTCTTCCTACCTCCTTCCCCACTTCTCTCTCTCAACCTCCTTCCCTACTTCTCTCTCTCTTTACCTCCTTCTCCACTTCTCTCTCTCTACCTCCTTCCCCACTTCTCTCTCTCTACCTCCTTCCCTACTCTCTCTCTCTTTACCTCCTTCTCCACTTCTCTCTCTCTACCTCCTTCCCCACTTCTCTCTCTCTACCTCCTTCCCTACTTCTCTCTCTCTCTACCTCCTTCCCCACTTCTCTCTCTCTACCTCCCCCCCTACTTCTCTCACTCTACCTCCCTCCCTACTTCTCTCACTCTACCTCCCTCCCTACTTCTCTCACTCTACCTCCCTCCCTACTTCTCTCTCTCCCTACCAGTAAACTCTACTTCAGTAAGCTCTGCCTCAGCTCCCTTCAGAGATGTTAGGAATCATTCGCGTAATTTTCACTTTTTTTTCAAGCAATTTTAGAACATTTCAACTTTTCCATTATGATAGAGATATTTCTGACCCCCCCTCCCCCCCTCATGAAAAAAAATATTTTTTTAGTTAAAGTTCCTAATTTTATAGAATTTAATGGAATTTTCAAATTGAGATAAAAAAATGAACTATCATATGCACGATACAAATCAGATTTTTTTTTTACTGAAAATTTAGACGTTAGCACCACGACTGTAAACAACCCAGGGACCTGGGTTGTCCACTGGCTTGATAGTTTTATAACTGAGACATAAGCCCATCTCCATGTTTCGTCATGAGTGGCGAAACATGTCTTGTATAAACTGCCATAAAAATTAAATACACACCTAAAAAAATGTCAGGTAAGTAATAACGTTAAGTGTGGACTGGAGATTACCTGGATTAGTATTACAACACACCTGTGGACTGGAGATTACCTGGATTAGTATTACAACACACCTGTGGACTGGAGATTACCTGGATTAGTATTACAACACACCTGTGGACTGGAGATTACCTGACTTAGTATTACAACACACCTGTGGACTGGAGATTACCTGACTTAGTATTACAACACACCTGTGAACTGGAGATTACCTGACTTAGTATTACAACACACCTGTGGACTGGAGATTACCTGGCTTAGTATTACAACACACCTGTGAACTGGAGATTACCTGACTTAGTATTACAACACACCTGTGAACTGGAGATTACCTGACTTAGTATTACAACACACCTGTGGACTGGAGATTACCTGGCTTAGTATTACAACACACCTGTGGACTGGAGATTGCCTGGATTAGTCTATTAAATAGACTAATATAATAGAGTCCGACTCTATTACATTAGCAAGATCTGACAGACCCAATATGGATGGTGGGTTGAGACGTACCTGGAGGCGCGGGTCTGGTGAAGACGGCAGGGCAGGTACAAGCTGCTGCGAACTCAGAGTCGAGATCATAGTAGTCTGGAGCTGGAGGGGGAGCTAGTGGATCGCCGTAGAGCAGCGCATCGATCTCGCGTTCCAGCAGCGCCAGATCGGTGTCGTGGTGGCCGCCCACGATCGGCGACGGTGGGCGGCGTAGCGACCGCGGGGGCGGCGCCACTCCTGGGGAGGAATGCCGGGACCAGGATGTGGGCGGCCGCGACTCCTCGCGGGTGGCAGGGGAGAGCGCCCGCGGGCGTCGCCCCGGGGACGCCGCCCGGGGCAATGACCCCGTAGATGCCAGTAGTGGTGATCCGGCTCGTAGGCCGCCAGGGGGGCGACGCCCCCTTGTGCCAGGGGAGCAGCGGGAGCCAGTAGAAGCACTGCGAGGTCGTCGTTCAGGAGAGGCAGGCGAGGCGGCGCGGCGAGACACGTGGGTATCCCTGGGGGTGGCACCCCCGGGGGAAGAGTTCCGCTGGGGGGCAGGGGACCCTCGCGGGGAGTAGCGGGTGAAGCCGGGATTTCTCACCTCAGCAGGGGCTGTGTGCGGGGGCGGCGACCCCAGCAAGCTGCCCCGCAGCCCCGCCAACTGCTCCAGCTCGTAATACGAGCCGTCTGACCCTGGTCTCCTGGGGAGGCCTGGGGAGGGGGCGCTGCCCCCGGAACTGGGGGAGCGGGGTACGCGGGACATGACGCGCGTGCCCATGGCTATGCGGGGCTTGGAGGCACCACCGCTGCCGGAGGACGAGCCTGTGGAGGCTAGCGAGGCCAAAGAACCTCGCTTCTCCAAGCGGTGCTCCACGTAAGCTGCGGGGTCCGGCAGCTCCGGGGTCGGGCAGGCGCTCTTGTAGCCGCTGTCGACGCTGTTGCTGCCAGCGTAACCCACTACGTCAGCGTCGGGATGCAGTCGCGGCCCCCAGCAGGACGACGCTGACGGCGGCGGCGCCGGGGGAAGGAGGTCGGCGTCGTCACTATCGGGGTCACCGATGGCGCTGATGGTATCCAGTAGAGGGTTGTCCACTGAGCGGCGGAGGCGTCTCGGGCGGCGACGCCGCCGCGGAGACGCCAACGCCAGGTCATCGCGAGCTACCGAGGGCGTTGAACGCGAGTGGGAGGCGTGCGGTAGCACGCCCTGGGACAGCGCCACATCGGCCATGTGGGCGCGGGCGGTGGTGCCGCCTGAGGCGTGGCAGGAGGTGCTGACGGAGGCGGTACCACTCACCACATCTCGGGGGCTGGTGGCACCCAGGCCTCCGTTGGGCGCGGGGGGCGGCGGGGCCTCCGTGCCCGAGTTAGCACCGGAGGAGGGGCGGGAGGCGGGGCTGCCCTCCCCCGAGGTCTGCTGGTGGTCTATAAACTCCTCGAAGGTAGCGTACATGTGCCAGATCTGTCTTGTGAAGTCATCACCTTGTAGTGAGAGCTCAGCCTGCGGAAGATAACAACAACCTCGGTTATACTGCAGCACCTGAAACCATACACTGGTGGTGTCGTGTACACACCTGCAACCATACACTGGTGGTGTCGTGTACACACCTGCAATCATACGCTGGTGGTGTCGTGTACACACCTGCAATCATACACTGGTGGTGTCGTGTACACACCTGCAACCATACACTGGTGGTGTCGTGTACACACCTGCAATCATACGCTGGTGGTGTCGTGTACACACCTGCAATCATACACTGGTGGTGTCGTGTACACACCTGCAGCCATACACTGGTGGTGTCGTGTACACACCTGCAATCATACACTGGTGGTGTCGTGTACACACCTGCAATCATACACTGGTGGTGTCGTGTACACACCTGCAACCATACACTGGTGGTGTCGTGTACACACCTGCAATCATACACTGGTGGTGTCGTGTACACACCTGCAGCCATACACTGGTGGTGTCGTGTACACACCTGCAATCATACACTGGTGGTGTCGTGTACACACCTGCAATCATACACTGGTGGTGTCGTGTACACACCTGCAATCATACACTGGTGGTGTCGTGTACACACCTGCAATCATATACTGGTGGTGTCGTGTACACACCTGCAACCATACACTGGTGGTGTCGTGTACACACATGCAGCCATTCACTGGTAGTGTCGTGTACACACCTGCAACCATACACTGGTAGTGTCGTGTACACACCTGCAGCTATACACTGGTAGTGTCGTGTACACACCTGCAACCATACACTGGTAGTGTCGTGTACACACCTGCAGCCATACACTGGTAGTGTCGTGTACACACCTGCAACCATACACTGGTAGTGTCGTGTACACACCTGCAAGCATACACTGGTAGTGTCGTGTACACACCTGCAGCCATACACTGGTAGTGTCGTGTACACACCTGCAACCATACACTGGTAGTGTCGTGTACACACCTGCAGCCATACACTGGTAGTGTCGTGTACACACTTGCCACCATACACTGGTAGTGTCGTGTACACACCTGCAGCCATACACTGGTAGTGTCGTGTACACACCTGCAACCATACACTGGTAGTGTCGTGTACACACCTGCAAGCATACATTGGTAGTGTCGTGTACACACCTGCAGCCATACACTGGTAGTGTCGTGTACACACCTGCAACCATACACTGGTAGTGTCGTGTACACACCTGCAAGCATACATTGGTAGTGTCGTGTACACACCTGCAGCAATACACTGGTAGTGTCGTGTACACACCTGCAACCATACACTGGTAGTGTCGTGTACACACCTGCAGCCATACACTGGTGGTGTCGTGTACACACCTGCAACCATACACTGGTGGTGTCGTGTACACACCTGCAACCATACACTGGTAGTGTCGTGTACACACCTGCAACCATACATTGGTAGTGTCGTGTACACACCTGCAACCATACACTGGTAGTGTCGTGTACACACCTGCAACCATACACTGGTGGTGTCGTGTACACACCTGCAACCATACACTGGTAGTGTCGTGTACACACCTGCAACCATACACTGGTAGTGTCGTGTACACACCTGCAACCATACATTGGTAATGTGTACACACCTGCAACCATACACTGGTAGTGTCGTGTACACACCTGCAACCATACACTGGTGGTGTCGTGTACACACCTGCAACCATACACTGGTAGTGTCGTGTACACACCTGCAACCATACACTGGTAGTGTCGTGTACACACCTGCAACCATACACTGGTAGTGTCGTGTACACACCTGCAACCATACACTGGTAGTGCCGCGTACACACCTGCAGCCATACACTGGCAGTTGTCGTGTATACATCTGCAATCCTGCACTGGCAGTTGTAGTGTATACATCTGCAATCCTGCACTGGCAGTTGTAGTGTATACATCTGCAATCCTACACTGGCAGTTGTAGTGTATACATCTGCAATCCTACACTTGCAGTTGTAGTGTATATATCTGCAATCCTGCACTGGCAGTTGTAGTGTATACATCTGCAACCATACACTGGTAGTTGCCGTGTATAAATTTGCAATCCTACACTGGTAGTTGTAGTCTATACACCTGCAACCATACACTGGTAGTTGTAGTCTATACACCTGCAACCATACACTGGTAACTGTCATGTGTACACCGACAACCATATACACCAGCAGCTAAATTCATTGCAGCCATACACACATGTAGCTATATCGAATGCACCCACACACACACATGCAGTCATACACCTCTGTAGCTATACTCAATGGAACTTTACACACTGCACAAACAATGAAAGATGTAACTATGTATTAAATAAATGAATACTGTGTGTTTTTATGGTAAGAGAACACGGGTATAAGGAAACAAGGACACTGAAACGAACCATACCACGGGTGGGGTTAGAACCCGCGATCATAGTCTCAAAATTCCAGACCGTCGCGTTGGATGAATCTTACTGTGGCTAGCAGGCCCAGTGGCTAACGCGACGGTCTGGAGTTTTGAGACTCTCTGATTGCGGGTTCTATCCCCGTCCGTGGTATGGTTTCTTTGCAATCGTGTCATTAGGATCTCGTGAGACACTGTGAACTCTGCTTTTAACAGGTAAAACACTATTGTTGTAGATAAGGTACAGAGGACTGATTTTACTCTCGTTAACTCTCCTGGAGTTTAATTCCTAGGCCTCTTGTGCATCCATATGTTATTGTGCATCCATATGTTATTGTGCCTCCATATGTTATTGTGCATCCATATGTTATTGTGCCTCCATATGTTATTGTGCCTCCATATGTTATTGTGCATCCATATGTTATTGTGCCTCCATATGTTATTATGCATCCATATGTTATTGTGCCTCCATATGTTATTGTGCATCCATATGTTATTGTGCCTCCATATGTTATTATGCATCCATATGTTATTGTGCCTCCATATGTTATTGTGCATCCATATGTTATTGTGCCTCCATATGTTATTATGCATCCATATGTTATTGTGCCTCCATATGTTATTGTGCCTCCATATGTTATTGTGCCTCCATATGTTATTGTGCCTCCATATGTTATTGTGCCTCCATATGTTATTGTGCCTCCATATGTTCCTGTGCTATTCTCCACAGGATAATAATGCTGAATGTAAACTTGTTTTGTCTGCCACCCTCCCTGGTATGATCACTATCACCCTCCCTGGTATGATCACTATCACCCTCCCTGGTATGATCACTATCACCCTCCCTGGTATGATCACTATCACCCTCCCTGGTATGATCACTACCACCCTCCCTGGTATGATCACTACCACCCTCCCTACTATGATCACTATCACCCTCCCTGGTATGATCACTATCACCCTCCCTGGTATGATCACTATCACCCTCCCTGGTATGATCACTACCACCCTCCCTGGTATGATCACTATCACCCTCCCTGGTATGATCACTATCACCCTCCCTGGTATGATCACTATCACCCTCCCTGGTATGATCACTATCACCCTCCCTGGTATGATCACTACCACCCTCCCTGGTATGATCACTATCACCCTCCCTGGTATGATCACTATCACCCTCCCTGGTATGATCACTACCACCCTCCCTGGTATGATCACTATCACCCTCCCTGGTATGATCACTACCACCCTCCCTGGTATGATCACTACCACCCTCCCTGGTATGATCACTATCACCCTCCCTGGTATGATCACTACCACCCTCCCTGGTTATGATCACTATCACCCTCCCTGGTATGATCACTATCACCCTCCCTGGTATGATCACTATCACCCTCCCTGGTATGATCACTATCACCCTCCCTGGTATGATCACTATCACCCTCCCTGGTATGATCACTATCACCCTCCCTGGTATGATCACTACCACCCTCCCTGGTATGATCACTACCACCCTCCCTGGTATGATCACTATCACCCTCCCTGGTATGATCACTACCACCCTCCCTGGTATGATCACTATCACCCTCCCTGGTATGATCACTATCACCCTCCCTGGTATGATCACTACCACCCTCCCTGGTATGATCACTACCACCCTCCCTGGTATGATCACTATCACCCTCCCTGGTATGATCACTATCACCCTCCCTGGTATGATCACTACCACCCTCCCTGGTATGATCACTATCACCCTCCCTGGTATGATCACTATCACCCTCCCTGGTATGATCACTACCACCCTCCCTGGTATGATCACTATCACCCTCCCTGGTATGATCACCACCACCCTCCCTGGTATGATCACTACCACCCTCCCTGGTATGATCACTATCACCCTCCCTGGTATGATCACTATCACCCTCCCTGGTATGATCACTATCACCCTCCCTGGTATGATCACTATCACCCTCCCTGGTATGATCACTACCACCCTCCCTGGTATGATCACTATCACCCTCCCTGCTATGATCACTATCACCCTCCCTGGTATGATCACTATCACCCTCCCTGGTATGATCACTATCACCCTCCCTGGTATGATCACTATCACCCTCCCTGGTATGATCACTATCACCCTCCCTGGTATGATCACTATCACCCTCCCTGGTATGATCACTATCACCCTCCCTGGTATGATCACTATCACCCTCCCTGGTATGATCACTACCACCCTCCCTGGTATGATCACTATCACCCTCCCTGGTATGATCACTATCACCCTCCCTGGTATGATCACTATCACCCTCCCTGGTATGATCACTATCACCCTCCCTGGTATGATCACTATCACCCTCCCTGGTATGATCACTACCACCCTCCCTGGTATGATCACTACCACCCTCCCTTGTATGATCACTATCACCCTCCCTGGTATGATCACTATCACCCTCCCTGGTATGATCACTATCACCCTCCCTGGTATGATCACTATCACCCTCCCTGGTATGATCACTATCACCCTCCCTGGTATGATCACTATCACCCTCCCTGGTATGATCACTATCACCCTCCCTGGTATGATCACTATCACCCTCCCTGGTATGATCACCA